CGTAGGAGCTGGAGCGGGGCCATGCTGTGGCTTCCAGGAGCTGGGTGGTGTGGCACCCGACCCAACACCCAGGCTGGAGCGCCAGAGCAGCCCCCAACCCAGCGCCCATTCTGGAGTGCTGGAGTGGGGCTGAGCCATGTGGTGTGGCCCCCGACCCAGCGCCCCAGCTGGAGCACCAGAGCGGGGCAAGCCACAGACCCCCACTCCCAAGCGGGCCGGCTTAAAACTGTAGTTTGCCCATCCCTGCCGTAAGGTGTTATTAGTCCCTAAATGATCCCTGAGCTCGGGTTAGTATTGCTCTTATTACTGTTATGCGCTAATATTATTAATCCAACTTCTCCAATTACCTTTTGGGGATTTTCTTTCTTACAACTTACAACTTCTTACAACTTGTCTTAATGAATCTGTGCACAAGATATCGTTAACATGTGTCTCATATGGAATATTCAGTTGTAACCATATTTTCTACAGAATTTGAGGACAACTAGAATTCTATAAGAATTTTTTGAGGGTGTCAACACACGTGGCTAAGGGTGATCCAGTTGATATAGTGGACTTTCAGAAAACCTTTGACTAGGTCTCTCACAAAGCTCTTAATCAAAGTAAGCGGTGGTGGGATCTGAGGGAAGGTCCTCTCATGGATCAGTAATTGGTTAAAAGATAAGAAATAAAGGGTAGGAATAAATGGTCAATTTTCACAGTGGAGAGAGGTAAATAGCGGAGTCCTCCAAGGATCTGTACTTGGAACAGTGCTGTTCAACACATTCATAAATGATTTGGAAAAGGGGGTAAACAGGTGGCAAAGTTTGCAGATGACAAAAAGTTACTCAAGCAAGTTAAGTCCAAAGCTGACTGTAAGGTGTTACAAAGTGTCACAAAACTGGGTGACTAGGCATCAAAACATCAGCTAAAATTCAACATTGATAAATGCAAACTAATGCGCATTGGAAAACATAACCCCAACTATACATACAAAATAATCAAGCCTAAATTATTTTTTACCACTCAAGAAAGAGATCTTGGTGTAACTGTGGATAGTTCTCTGAAAACACAGCTTGAATACTGAATGCAGTTCTAGTCACTCCATCTCAATAAAGATATATTAAAATTGGAAAAAGTACAGAAAAAGGCAACCAATATGATTATTGGTATGGAACAGCTTCCATATGAGGAGAGATTAAAAAGACTGGGACAGTTCATCTTAGAAAAGAGATGACTTAGAAGGTCTATAAAAATCACGGATGGTGTGGTGAAAGTGAATAAGGAAGTGGTATTTTCCCCTTCACATAACACAAGAACCTGTGGTTACCCAATAAAATTAATAGGCAGCAGGTTTAAAAAAAAACACAAGGCAGTACTTCTTCACACAACACACAGTCAACATGTGAAACTCGTTGCCAGGTGATGTTGTGAAGGACAAAAGTATAACTGGATTGAAAAAAGAATTAGATAAGTTCTAGGTGGGCAGGTCCATTAATGGCTTTAGCCAAGATGGTCATAGATGCAACCCCATGTTCTGGGTGTTCCTAAACATCTGACTTCCAGTTGCTGTGACTAGACAAGAAGGGATGGAGCTGTCGATAACTGCCTTGTTCTGTTCATTCCCACTGAATGAACAGAACCAGCCACTATTGGAAGACAGAATATGGGCTAGCTGAACCATTGGTTTTACCGAGTATAGCAAATCTTATGTTCTTAACTTCTGATCTTCCACATCCTAATCTCCATAGATTTAAAGACCAGAGGGATGACTATAATAATCTAGTCTGACCTTCTGTATAACTCAGACCATAGAATTTCACCAGTGATTCCTGCATCAAGCCTGTAACTAGGGAAGTGACTTACCCAAGGTCAAGGCCAGAGCAGGATATAGAACCTGATCTTCTGTCAGTCCATTGGGTTAGCCATTGGACCGCACTGCCTCTTGTTCAAGGGTCTGCACAGGTCTGCTTCTGCTTACATCTGGTCTCTTATCCTTTGCTTTTGCCCCGTGCTCTGTCCACTCCGAACACTTTGTTGCACTCTCTTTCCCTGCATGACTCCATGCCTTCTCTCATGACACCTCCTGTGCCAGGAGTATCTTCCCTGTCCTTCGCACTGCACTTCACCCCTTCACATTCCTCCTCAAGACTTTCTTTTTACTATCCTTTGAAAATTGACCTCCACTTCAACATACTTGCCTGCTTGCAGGGTTCCATTCCTTCTTAAAAGCTGAATATACTGGAAATCTGGTCAACTACTGCAGCGAATGAGATGAACATTCCTCAAAGTCCAAAAGCCCCTTTTTATTGATTAATATCCATGTGAATAGGTCTTTGTTCACTTGTGCATTTAGGGGATGGCAGTTTTTCATAGAAATGACTGTCTTTGCATTCTGCTACCTACCCTGAAATTCGCTTACAGTGTGATCTGTGACATTAACTAGCTGACCAATTACTGCACCTTCTCTGATCTCTCAGTCTCTCATAAAGTTATTGCAAAAGTGGCAGAGAGCCACCTCTCCAGTATGTCAACTCTACCTACTTTATCAGGCAACACATTTAGATGGGGCAAGGCAGGTGGTGATGAGAGATGAGAGATGAGATGTAGGTAGGAGCTGGGTTCTGCAGAATCTGAAGCATGAAGGGTGAAGATTTAAACTTTATGCAAAAAGAGATGTAGAAGCCCTCTACACCAACATTCCACACAAAGATGGACTACAAGCCATCAGGAACAGTATCCCTGATAATGTCACGACAAACCTGTGGCTGAACTTTGTGACTTTGTCCTCACTCATAACTATTTCACATTTGGGGACAATGTATACCTTCAAATCAGCAGCACTGCTATGGGTACCTGCATGGCCCCACAGTATGCCAACATTTTTATGGCTGACTTAGAACAACGCTTCCTCAGCTCTCATCCCCTAATGCCCCTACTCTACTTGCGCTACACTGATGACATCTTCATCATCTGGACCCAGGGAAAAGAAGCCCTTGAGGAATTCCACCATGATTTCAACAATTTCCATCCCACCATTAACCTCAGTTTGGACCAGTCCACACAAGAGATCCACTTCCTGGACACTATGGTGCTAATAAGCGATGGTCACATAAACACCACCCTATACCGGAAACCTACTGACCGCTATTCCTACCTACATGCCTTCAGCTTTCACCCAGGATCACACCACACGATCCATTGTCTACAGCCAAGCTCTACGATATAACCGCATTTGCTCCAACCCCTCAGACAGAGACAAACACCTACAAGATCTCTATCAAGCATTCTTACAACTACAATACCCACCTGCTGAAGTGAAGAAACAGATTGACAGAGCCAGAAGAGTACCCAGAAGTCACCTACTACAGGACAGGCCCAACAAAGAAAATACCAGAATGCCACTAGCCATCACCTTCAGCCCCCAACTAAAACCTCTCCAACGCATCATCAGGGAACTACAACCTATCCTGAAGGACGACCCATCACTGTCACAGATCTTGGGAGACAGGCCAGTCCTTGCTTACAGACAGCCCCCCAACCTGAGGCAAATACTCGCCAGTAACCACACACCACACAACAGAACCACTAACCCAGGAACCTATCCTTGCAACAAAGCCCGTTGCCAACTGTGTCCACATATCTATTCAGGGGACACCATCATAGGTCCTAATCACATCAGCCACACTATCAGAGGCTCGTTCACCTGCACATATACCAACGTGATATATGCCATCATGTGCCAGCAATGCCCCTCTGCCATGTACATTGGTCAAACTGGACAGTCTCTACATAAAAGAATAAATGGACACAAATCAGACATCAAGAATTATAACAAAAACCAGTCGGAGAACACTTCAGTCTCTCTGGTCACTCGATTAGAGCCCTAAAAGTGAGAATTCTTCAACAAAAAACCTTCAAAAACAGAGTCCAACGAGAGACTGCTTAATTGGAATTAATTTGCAAACTGGACACCATTACATTAGGCTTGAATAAAAACTGGGAGTGGATGTGTCATTACATGAAGTAAAACTATTCCCCCATGTTTATTCCGCCCCCCCCCCATTGTTCCTCAGACGTTCTTGTCAACTGTGGAAATGGCCCACCTTGATTATCACTACAAAAGGTTCCCCCCCACCCCCGCTCTCCTGCTGGTATTAGCTCATCTTAAGTGATCACTCTCCTTACAGTGTGTATGGTAACACCCATTGTTTCATTTTCTCTGTGTATGTAAATGTCCCCACTGTATTTTCCACTGAATGCATCCGATGAAGTGAGCTGTAGCTCACGAAAGCTTATGCTCAAATAAATATGTTAGTCTCTAAGGTGCCACAAGTACTCCTTTCCTTTTTGCGAATACAGACTAACACGGCTGCTACTCTGAAACCAGTAAAAGAGGATGTTTTGGTCACAATAAGGACAATGTAATGGAGGGTTGAAAAGAGGAGGTAAGAGAGAGGAGATACAGTAGTAATAATAACGGTATCCCACATTATCATAACACATATCATCGGTAAAAATAAATATACATTTGTGGAGAGAAGAACATGCCTGCAATTTAATCACTTAGGGTCAGATCCTCAAAGGTATTTAGGGCTCCGACATTCTACAGAAATCAATGGAAATTAGGAGATTAAACACCTTTGAGGATGTGGGCCTAAGCATAATAGATTAGTTCTGACAAAGTATTAAGCAATTCTCATTTATGCTAATGCTTTTCACACTCTATCCATGAAAAGGGACCTGAAAGTGAGTGTAAATATAATTTACTCTCACTGTAGGACAACTTTACAGTGCCAAAACAGGCCTTAGTGCAAATAAGGATCAGATCTATTATTTTAATCATGTCAGATATTGGATCTCTACTCATGCCTTTCAATCTTATTTGATAAAAACAAAACAATTGTAAAATGTCATGTCAGGATTTCTACTCTTTTTTTTTTTTTAAACAGGACTGAACCTGAAATCATAAATATGTCCCAGCTCATCTTGTTACTTTATTTTCTCTCTTTTTTGGAAAGGCTCATTGGCTAGATTCTCAGATGAGGATGTGTACCCTACAAGATTGTATCCATTTTTTTCCAGTTGCCATGAAGTCTCCTAAGAATCTACTTCAAGCTTACAGCATTGGACGTACTAATGGTCCACTTCTGCCACCTTTACTCGGTTTGGCAGTACCTTACTGTGCCATTAGTTGATCCTATTGATTTCCAAGGGACTAACTGAAAAGTAAGTATCAGGGTGGACAGCCGAAAGATGCTCTAAATTGTGTCGGGGTTACAGGGAAAAGGCACTATGTTCAGCGAAGCCATTACCACACTTATTTATATGTCCTCATTGACTGAACATTTTTCTAAATAAAATTTCTGTGAATTTTCTAAATAAAATTTCTGTGAATCAAAGTGAATTGAGTGCTAGAGGTGTGAATTTGCAGTTACACAACCCCTGATGATGCAGCAGAGTTTGACTGGAAGTTGAGTAGTGTGAAGGCCATTTTTATATGAATAGATATAATGATTTACTAGCCTAAAGCTAGCAATGTTTTTGGTCAATCAAACCTTAAAAATATGTCAGTGCTTGTGAGGAGGTGCTAAATGGATATGGAAGACATCTTTATACCTGGAGAACTACTTTATTTGGGCCAAAAATATTCTGTATTAACAATAAGGTATTCCTAAATCTTTTCTGTTATTCCAGTGGAAACTGTGAGTGTGGGCGGGAAGAAGGTCACTGTGTGGAGGGACACCGGAGCACAAGTGTCAGCTATCCATGCTTCCTTAGTGGACCCCAATTTAATCAACCCAGAGATCCAAGTGACGATTCAACCCTTCAAGTCCAACTCTTTCGATTTGCCTACAGCCAAGTTGCTTGTCCAGTACAAGGGCTGGTCAGGAATGTGGACTTTTGCAGTCTATGATGATTATCCCATCCCCATGCTGTTGGGGGAAGACTTGGCCAATCATGTGAAGCAGGCCAAGAGGGTGGGAACGGTCACCCGCAGCCAGGCTAAACAAGCCGTGAGGCCTAGCTCTGTTCCGGAAACTTCTATCAGGACCCGGTCAGAGGTGATGGACCTGGACCCCAGGCCAATGTCTGCAACAGCAGTAGTGGATCCAGTCCCAGAGACCCAGACGGAACCAGTCCCAGAACCGGAACCAGCCGAACAACCAACACCAGACCCATTGTCAGCACTGAATCCAGTACTTGCAACCTCAACACCAGAGGGCCCCACCGACCCTGAACTGGCAGCAGCCGATAACCCGACACAAGAGGCTCAGCCGGAGCCTGAATCCCAACATAGTGCACCAGCGGAGAGCGGTTCACAGTCAACAGAAACAGCTCCATCCCCTATATCGCTTCCAGAGGGACCAAGCCTAGGTCCACAATCCAATGAGGAACTGATGTCTTCAGCATCAAGGGAACAGTTCCAGACCGAACAGGAAGCAGATGAAAGCCTCCAGAGAGCTTGGACGGCGGCACGGAGCAACCCTCCACCTCTCAGCTCTTCTAATCGATCCAGGTTTGTTATAGAAAGAGGACTTTTATACAAGGAAACTCTTTCTGGTGGACACCAGGAAGACTGGCATCCTCAGAGACAGTTGGTAGTTCCAACTAAATACCGGGCCAAGCTCTTGAGCTTAGCCCACGATCACCCTAGTGGCCATGCTGGGGTGAACAGGACCAAAGACTGTTTGGGGGGGTCATTCCACTGGGAGGGAATGGGCAAGGATGTTTCTACCTATGTCCAGTCTTGTGAGGTGTGCCAAAGAGTGGGAAAACCCCAAGACCAGGTCAAAGCCCCTCTCCAGCCACTCCCCATCATTGAAGTTCCATTTCAGCGAGTAGCTGTGGATATTCTGGGTCCTTTTCCAAAAAAGACACCCAGAGGAAAGCAGTACATACTGACTTTCATGGATTTTGCCACCCGATGGCCGGAAGCAGTAGCTCTAAGCAACACCAGGGCTAAAAGTGTGTGCCAGGCACTAGCAAACATTTTTGCCAGGGTAGGTTGGCCCTCCGACATCCTCACAGATGCAGGGACTAATTTCCTGGCAGGAACTATGGAAAACCTTTGGGAAGCTCATGGGGTAAATCACTTGGTTCCCACCCCTTACCACCATCAAACAAATGGCATGGTGGAGAAGTTTAATGGAACTTTGGGGGCCATGATACGTAAATTCGTAAATGAGCACTCCAATGATTGGGACCTAGTGTTGCAGCAGTTGGTCTTTGCCTACAGAGCTGTACCACACCCCAGTTTAGGGTTTTCCCCATTTGAACTTGTATATGGTGAAAGTTAACCGTGAGGTTAAGGGGCCATTGCAGTTGGAGAAGCAGCAATGGGAGGGATTTACACCTTCTCCAGGAACTAACATTCTGGACTTTGTAACCAACCTACAAAACATCCTCCGAACCTCTTTAGCCCTTGCTAAAGAAAACTTACAGGATGCTCAAAAAAAAGCAAAAAGCCTGGTATGATAAACATGCCAGACAGCGTTCCTTCAAAGTAGGGGACCAGGTCATGGTCTTAAAGGCGCTCCAGGCCCATAAAATGGAAGCATCGTGGGAAGGGCCATTCACGGTCCAGGAACGCCTGGGAGCTGTTAATTATCTCATAGCATTCCCCACCTCCACCCGAAAGCCTAAGGTGTACCATATTAATTCTCTAAAGCCCTTTTATTCCAGAGAATTAAAGGTTTATCAGTTTACAGCCCAGGGAGGAGACAATGCTGAGTGGCCCGAAAGTGTATACTACGAAGGGAAATGTGGTGGTGGTGTGGAAGAGGTGAACCTCTCCATGACCCTTGGGTGTATGCAGCGACAGCAGATCCAGGAGCTGTGCACTAGCTACGCGCCGATGTTCTCAGCCACCTCAGGACTAACTGAATGGGCATACCACTCCATTGACACAGGTAATGCTCACCCAATTAGGGTCCAACCTTAAAAACCTGGATTTGTGCTGGAAATGGCCCAACTTGATGATCACTTTAGATAAGCTATTACCAGCAGGACAGTGGGGTGGGAGGAGGTATTGTTTCATGATCTCTGTGTGTATATAATATCTGCTGCAGTTTCCACGGTATGCATCCGATGAAGTGAGCTGTAGCTCACGAAAGCTCATGCTCAAATAAATTGGTTAGTCTCTAAGGTGCCACAAGTACTCCTTTTCTTTTTGTGAATACAGACTAACACGGCTGTTACTCTGAAACCTTTCTAGGAATGCAGTATATCTTAAATACAATTTTCCTGACTGCTGTTTTGGTTTAAACCCCTCCTGCTAATAGCAATGAATAAGATTTTTTTTTTTTAACCAAGAAAACACTTCCTAAGGTTTTTGCTGTTGGCATCTCCCCCCCAGCCCCACCTTCCTTTCCTCTTATTTCTCTACTGCTAAGTTAAACTGTGCTTTTCTTGATATAAATGGAACATTAGCATGTATTAGTTATGTTTACAGTACAGAAGCCATTAGATGGATATAGAGTACTTGGGCACATTCAGATACAGAGACCCACCTGTGGGATGTGGGATGTTACAAGCCTCTCACTTGCTTATTATATTGTACAGCAGAATATAAATAGAAAGAATAATATTATGTTAGAGTTCAGTAAGAGCCATAACCCACCTGGTACTTGAGAGTGGGAGGAGTTGGGAAATGGACTGACCTGAACTTTAATTTCAATGACTTGTACACAATTGCATTTTTAGGGATAAAGTCTCCCTCAGCAATAGCCTCTGACTTTGCACTCATCATCAATTGCCACCATAATATTAGAAGCTTGGTTAAAAATATGATCCTTATACTCTCACTGAGGAAATTCTAAATCTAGCATAGGTTTCAGAGTAGCAGCCGTGTTAGTGTGTATTCGCAAAAAGAAAAGGAGTACTTGTGGCACCTTAGTGACTAACAAATTTATTTGAGCATAAGCTTTCGTGAGCTACTCTAAATCTAGCATAGTTATCTTATAACAAAAACAAGCAAAATCAGCTATCAAAACCAAACAAAAGCTTTTAAACACACTGCCAAAAAGGTCCAAAGGTATCTTTCATTTTCTTTTGTTCCTTGTTTTTTTTCACATTCAGTAGTTTGCTATCATTTAATCTTTGTCCTCAGGTTTCGTTTTGGAATATGGATTAAGAAGACTGTCCAAGGAGTAGATTTTACTGTCATAAAGATCAGAAGTCATGTAAATCCAGTGCATATGTTTTAGGGGACAAATTGACAACAGTATCTTAGCCTTTTGATAATACAATAGCCAGCAGGTAGGTGTAAAGAAGACTAACGGCAAAATTTGATCCTATTTGTTCACAGCAAATGGCTGTTTAAACATATGAAAACTATCCCAAAGTTTTGCTGATTTTAGATGCCTCACTCCTATGGCTACAGGACAAAAGACTGGGGAAAAATTAAAATTTTCCCCATGAAGAGAATTTTCTTTTGATGACAAAGTCTAAAATGGCAAAATCAGTTTAATTGTGTTTGTGGATTCAGTTTGGAGAGATGGTTAATAATCCCAATGCTCTACAAAGGTGGGCTTATTATTCTCATTTCAATTTTTCACCCAAGATCACATGGAGAGTTATTGCAGAACTATTAATAGAGTGCAGGCTTCCTGACTTCCAGTCCAGTACCTTATCCACTGGACCATGCTGCCTCTGTGTACTCTGTTCTCCTGTTGTTTCCAGAGAGCATGAACTGTATTTGGCTTGATTCCCAGACATTTTTGGTTCAGAGCAATGTTTTGGCCCCTCACTGGAGACGAATGTCAGTACAGTGACAACAAAAATGGGTCCAAATGAAATCTCTGAATTTGAACACACCTGGGAGGCCATAAGGATGGACGATATTTGCATATAGAATAACATTTTGCTAATAGGCCCCATTTTTATAGTAGGCCAACCACAAACCTTGGACCTGAACACTCCTTCAAGCCCAACATAAGGATGTTTGAAATCTGGATCCAAATTCTGTGGCTTGAACTTATCTTTAAGAGCTCACTTCCCTTATTTTGAACACTGAGTATTCTTGTGCAGTAGTAATGTCTTCCAGATTTCCAGAAACGATCTTCCATTTACTCTCACAATAGTGGCAAGTAGGGCAGGGTGAAAAGTGGTTTACCGCACTGTCAACATGTTTGAGATTTCACCAAATGTTCCCATTCTACATCAGGATGAAACTGAGACCCTTTGAAGTTTTTTGATGAAGAACCAGAGAGAGGGGGGTAAGGCACTCCTGGGATCCGTTAGCCCCAGGTTCAAATCCTTAAGTGGGAGCATTGACTTGCACATGAGTGTCCCCAATTCCAGGTGATTGCCCTAACCACCAGGTTATTCTACTCTCTCTGTCTTGTTTTGACCAGAAATTCCATCCTGGAACTGAGAAACCTTTCCTATGAAAGTGTCATAAAAAGTGATGTGCTCCTATGAAAAGTTTCAGTTTTGGCAAATTGGCATTTTCTAACAAATACAGTTTTATGGAAAAATTCCTGTCCAGCTTTAGTGGCAAACCTAGTACAAACTCCTCCCCTACCCTGTATACCTTGAGGTAGTGAACAATACTGTTACATAATCTGTGTTTCCAGGCATTGACTAGACCAGAAATGATGAAGAGGAGTAACACTATAGCACTCATACTAGCAAGATCATCGGCAGCCCAGTGGCTGGTGGTTTCCAGTACAGACTCTTAAAATAAGTCTTTTAAAATAACTCTTATGTTCAGTTGAAACAGGCTGTTGCATGGGACATTTAGCTTAAAAAGAAGAAGCTAGTGTGTGTGTTTGTCTCTATTTACTCTTCCCCATCAATTTAAAATAAAGGCAGGCCACTGGCACTGCCTACATTTTTCAACCCATAGAGGCAGAGCTGAATGACTCTTGTTTCCTTTGCTTGCATGTCAGGTATAAAGATGTCTTCCATAAGTTGTTAATACTGCTGTGGCATGGAAAGGATACTGGTATCCTGGCAGTCTTTCTTCACCGTGGAATGGTCTTGTACCCTGAAAATGGCATTGTTATCTATTCTCAGTTAGGACACCAGATACTCTAAAATGGGCCCATTTTAAGGAGGCATGGGGGAGGCCTCTGAGAAAAGATGGCTATTAATAACATAATGTGGGGAGAAGAGGAAGCTGGTATCATATCAAGTGGGCATTCTAGTGTGATAGCCCTGATCGAGTTCTGCTGCTGATCCTGAGCGATGGTCACTATATCAGCCCTGTATTTGCCACCTCTCCCAGGGTGTCTAACTCTTCCCTTCATCAAAACCTTGAGTTAAAGCACCTCAGGTCCCTGTGCCGCCTTTTGTGCTTATATCAGGCACTGTCATCATCTTGACTGTCCTTATCTGCAATTGAACCCTCCACTCACTGACATGCCTTTCCTCCCTCTCCATGAACCCCTCTCTGCCCTTTAACCCCGACTGTCAGCATAATGAAGGCTTGATTTCAATACTTTCCCTCATTTCTCTGTTCACTGCTCTGCAGGTTAATGCAGATTCCAAACTTCAACAAGCAGCTGTTAAACATGTCATTAACACTGCTTCGGCTGCAAATGAAACTCTGCTATTGGGATTATTCTGGGAGCTATAGTTTTGTGATGAGCTTTGTCAATCACAGCTGACCTGCTGTGTACAGAATGAAACTCAGATTATCTACTTTCTTCCTCAGACTCTTGTCATTTTTTCACAAAGAATTACTATTCTACTCCCCGAAAGATTGATTACTTGCACAAATAAGAGAGTCTGAGACATTAATACAAAATTCACAGGCTTTTCTTTATCTCAGACCTGCAACTCCCTCTACATTTCCTCCTGGTAATTATATTAGAATTGTGTACACTAGGAATTGCCATCTGATTATTATGAAACTAGTTTTGTCATGACAAAAATGAGCTTAAGTCTTGTTTTTTTGGAAAATGATCAGTACAGTGCACTGGATGAGAGAGAAGGAGATTAAATCCAACTTGCTTTCATCCATGAATGCTTTCATCTCTTTTTCAAACACAGGAAATGATTACCACTGCTATAAGCTGCAGTTCATATGAGTGAAAAAGGATAAGAAAATATTGAAAATTCTGTAACCAACAGAAGGATATAATATAGGTCCCTGGTACCCACTGAGAGACATGTACTTTATTTTTCTATACTGGCAATGTCAAGGGTTTCACATTTTAAGAGTTGCCGTCTATTGAGGTGTCATTAAGTAGTGGAGAATATGTTAATTAATTGCAATTTCTCCAGGTTAGCATTTTCTTTTATTGCAAGAAAGATAAATATGAAAAAAAAAATCCTTCTCAAATCTGACTGTCCTCATCAGTCACTTAATGAACCTCATTCTTTGCTCTTCTAGTGGAAACCTCTGTGTAGCTCCAGCAAAGATTAAATGGTTCTTAGGGTTTTGAATATAATGAAACACTGGACCTTTGTTGACAGTGTTTTGGAAGTATTGGAAATACAGGCGCAAAACACTTACAACTGGCCTAGTGGGTTGACTTTGCGTCTTTATTGTCTCACTTTAATCTCTTGATCTAACCAGTTCTTTGTTTCCAATTCCAGAGCAGGGAAACTGCATGATCCCCTATAGAACCACGATTGTTCTTTCATTAGAAATGTGAATCCTAATGAATTGTGTCCAGTATGCTATGAAAGTCAATATTTAGAATGGGACCGGTCTTCATGCAGGGCATGTGTTTAAATTCATGTGGCTGTGAACTCACCTCCTTGAATAATATACGCTGGTAAATAAAAGCACTTAGAGGTTCATTCTGTTTGTCCAGCAGATTTCTGCTTTGCAAGTCTGAATTTATCTATTGAGCTTGTGATGGAAAAGTAAGTCCAGTCATAACTTCCCCCCAACTGCCATTAGAAATCCATTTTACACCCAAGACTGTACAAAATTCAAACTCTTGCAATCATGGAAGTCAACAGAGCTGCTAAATGTAAGGTCACATTCAAAACAAAATCGTTGCCTCATGAATCATGATGACATTCTGAACAGATGAGAGAAAGGGAGTGTGTGTGTTTCAGAGAAACTGAAGCCTAAGGCCAGTATCAACGAGAGAAACTGAAAGAGTCAGA